ACAACTAAAAAAAAAGTATATGTAGAGCACAGGAAAAACCTCCCCGACAGATATTCTGTCTGTCAGCTAAATGGAAGTAGGAAGTGATGGTAAGGGAAACATCCTCCACCAGTACAAACGGTTTCCCCTGAGTTGCCTGTTGTCTCGAGGTTAGTCAATGTAGCATCCCAGAAAAGGGCTGCGCCACACAAACAGCTCAGAAGTTTCACTCACTACAGGAAAGTGTCTCATACCTACAATCAAAAATACATTGCTTTCTTTTTACCTTCGTTGACATCAGTAAGAATCTGCTACCACTTGCACTGTAACGGTATAACTTCATGTATCAGTCGATCTTCTTCACCATGAACAACATGGTTGCCACTTATCTGAGCTATTTGCTAGAAGTGAGGACAACCAATAGAGATATATTGATTTTCCACCATTTTGGTGTAATTTGGTGAAGATTAATTAACATCTCGCCTTGCTCTGCTCAGCTTGCTGACACAATGAACAGGGAAGGGTCAGAGGAAGGTCTAAAGTCAGAACCCAATTGGTCCAAAAACAAGGTGGCCTCCACAAGACTCTTGCCCACCCCCAGCCTCTAAATTACCTAGGCTGACACTGGTGGGGAGGAGTCAGGAGCCCACTTTAGGTCTGTACTCAGGCCAGTGGTTGAACGGGTCAAGACCTCCCCATTAGGGAGCAGGTCAAAGCCACATAACTCTTTAGCTAAGGTGAGGGTCACTGCGATGGTCTGTCCGAGTCGGGGTCAACCAGAGGTCTCTGGCCACTGAGGTTCATGGCAATACAATAAAAGTAATCAATCTGGCCGCTAGACCCTGGTCAATAATATACTCCCAGGCTGTGGAGGGTCACCACCTGTTCCCTGGCCTCTCCTTGGACTGTCCTGGACCTCCTGAAGTGCCTAGATCTTGGATTTCACTGTCCTGAAGGAGAAGTGGAAGTCTGGTGCAGAGAATAATGAAAGTCCACATATATAGTTAAGCACTCTGGTATAAAACCATGACAAATGTATAAGCTCTCAATAGACAGCAACTGCAATCGTTCGGTTGTAATTATTTTACTGCGTGCTCATGCAGTTAAGTCAGCTGTCAGTTAATATCCATTTGGTAACAAATCTGGATCTTCTTTGTCTATAGGTGACACTTCACGTCACACCAACAAATACCTGGTCATTTCAGGATGCCTCTAGTAGAGAATAAAATGTGCTTTACCAGAGTCCAGCCTAAACAGAGACAGAGCTAGGCTATGAAATTGACACGGCTCACCGACATGAGCTGTATCCTTTTTAAAAAAATGCAGACATGCCTTTTTATATCGTACTCCTATTGCACTGACAAAAAAACCTCCTCATACACTGTATGGTGACTAGTCAGAATGCATTTTCCTTAATACTGCTAATCTTACTTTCTTTCAGTGTCTTGTGACAAACATTGCCAGCACTGCTCTCTCTCTGTTCTTCCCTCTTTGGCCTCTCACGCTTGCCATGAATGGAGACAGACAGCATCCTTGGCTCCTGCCAGGATGAGGCAGCAGTTAATTCTTGGCTGCCCTCCCTCTTTGCTTAAAGGCAGGTATAGAGTTTCCAACAGCTCCAGCTGGCTTGATACAATGGAGATCTCAGTGCAAAGGCAAAGTTCCAAGCAGGTGAACTAACCTCTCCTCCTTTGCCTTATAGGCCTTATCAGCCATATCAACAGTGGTGCCACTAACATCCCTACACCTCCACCAGAGCTGACTGGAACTTTCTCAAGTTCCAGTCACCCTAACCCTTAAGTCTCACACCATTGCCAGGCTGTGTGCCCTTTCTCATAAAGAATTATAAAACTACAGTCACATTTAAAACACAGCTTAACAAGAAGATGAAAAGGCGCTGGTTCACGGTCAAACACCACTATTCATCAAATGCGCTGGAATAAAAATGTAATAAAAGAATGTAAAAAGTTTGTGTCTAAACACATACATGTTTTTAACATGAGACGAGTATTTGGACTCATTTCTTATCTCCATCTCATTCCTTCTTTCCTTTCCCCCCTCTGCTCTTTCCTGCCAACAACATGACATCTCATTAGGCAGTATAATCAGCATCCGATTTGCATACATCTGTTTTATTTTATTGATTGCCTCTCATTCGTTAAGATTCAGGGCATATAATTAATGACCAACCCCCTGGTGCCACACCCTGGGGACAGCTAATTCCACTGCATACCAAGGGGATTTCAGCAGAGGGCACAAGTGGGCTTGTCACAACGGGCACTGGGCCAGTCCTGGTCCCCTCCCTGCCTCCGGCTGTCCTTGGTCCCAGCCAGCTCCTCTAACAAGGAGAGCCCTTCCTGGGCCGCGTTAACTAAAAGGACAATTATCTTGAGAACAATGATGCTTTTCACAGGGGCTGTGTTGTCATTAATGCAGTGGATCTGGTTACAGCAGCCAGCTTAAGCTAATTAACGAATGCTATCTGTGGACTCTCATTGCTTCTTAATTAAGTAAGATTCATTTCAAAATGGGGACAGTCACTTTTTGAAATGAGAGCTTTGCCTTTGACTTTTGTTTGAATTAATTTACTTGGTGAGGTTTGCTTCACATGTCTAAACAACTGCCACTTAGCTGCGCCACACTTAACAAACACATGCTCAGCAGTGATCTAATACTTACGACCGACTTCAACGTAAATATGAACACAGGCTCAGATTGAGAAAGAAATATTCTTTTAAACAACAGCTTTGCATACGGGCAGTAATGCCAGAAGCAACCTTGCTCTTCCAGTTTATCTGTGGCCACAAAGCGATTTGTTCTGAAAAGCTCCAGTCACTACCAGCCTTGTGCTTCCTTTGACAAAAACACTCTCTAGACCCTGATGTTTTAACATCCGTCTACACCATTAAAAACATATTCTGATTAGAAATTGCTGACTGACTGACACGCTGAATACTGTGGGAACAGTTGCTTTCCAAAAAGACAGCTGAGTCTGTTTTTTCTTTTTCTTTTTCTTCTTTTTTTCCAAGTTGCCTGCTGACCTTTTACACAGGAGAGGACTGTTAGTCACCAGTCACTCAGCACTGACTGACAACATGGGGAAAATTGAATGAGAGATATAAGTGTGTGTGTGTGTTTGTGTGTGTGTGTGTGGGGGGTGGGGGGGGGGGGGGGGGCATGCACATGTTGGGAGAGAGAAACAGAGAGAGAGAGAGAGAGAGAGAGAAGGTCAGGAAGTTCAGGCTGTGTAAAATCTCGCAGAAATCTCCACATCTTGGGCTGCTGCTGTCTAAAGATGGACAAACACACGTGGAGGTTATGATGACACATAACCCAATTCATAGCCCTTCCATATCCTTCAAATGACACATATTTACTGCTGTCTCAGGACTCCACGAAAATAGCACTGACTCAGATGGCAGGCAGCTAGTAAACCAATCATATGCAAACTACTGCTCTAAAATGCCGCTTCTAAGGTCATGCATTTTCTGTATCTAAAGGGTGTGTGCTGGTTCAGCAGGAGCGAATCAGATGTGTAAACATAGACACACATGAGTGCAGGGATCTGGTTTGGCAACTATATATGTCCTTACTTGCTGGGTATTGTGAAGGAGGTTACAGCTGTTGATTGTGATTAAAATGTAAACATAGGCCGAGTTCAGAGAAAGGGCGAGTATGTTAGTTTGAAGCTTGATCAACTCTCACAGTTCTCCACGCCCTCTGAAATTCTCTTATTCTTCACTTAGCCAGCATGGCTGGGCAGTGTCAGAAAGACATCAAGCACATAGTGGAAAATAAAGACAATCATCTTACTTCGGTTCGAAGTTCATGAAATGAAGAAATGGAAGCCTAAGTTTACCTAACTAGGAGAAAAAATGTCTAAAAAAATTAAGGCGCTCATCTACAATGATCTCTTAAACTATCAACTAAAAGTGAGGAATTATCTCCATGTGGTGCCCATTTCTGGGGTCCCCCTGACCCCATTCTGAGTGCTCTTTCTTCCATTTACCCTGCTTTTAGCCTCTCAATGTGAAAAATGTACTGTTTTAAGTAATCCTTGTTTGTACTGACCATAATTGATTGGGTAATCCTGGTTTAACATGCACTAAAGCCAGTGCTTAAGAAACTATTAGGAGGGCTAGCAGCTTAAAGAGGCAGGATCTATCTATGGCTGACTGCTAGATCTCTATTTTTGTGCCTAGATGTTGGATGCATTTTATGATTTCTTTCCGTGGTTACCCTGTCTACTAGTCCTATCTTCCCCACATATATCCGTCTTCTTATTCTGTTTAGTGATACAGTAGTAAATTCACATGCCAACATATTGGCAAGACAGTGCTTGGCTTATCCTCTGAACTTGACAAGAAAATCTCCTGGCATTCTTCCATCAACCTAGTGACACAGTTCCTGTGGTGTTTAGGCCAGCTTCACCTAGAGCCACAACCCATCTCCGCAGATGCGATGCCAAAAGTCCCTGTCAACTCGACATGACACACGCCACCCTGCACAGTCTTCACTGTGACAACCCTGTCATAATCAACACAAATCTCTTAGCGTCAGCATGAGGAGTAAAGGTATTATGAAGGTGGAGAGAAGGGAGAGAGAGGAGGTAGAAGGAAAGGCGGTAACACTAAGTACAGGTCATGATACAGTCTCAGCGGCTCTGGGATCAAGCAGCAAGTGTGAATGTGGTTGTGCACCCAGGACAGTCAGACAAGGGGAAGGCTAATTCCTGCTCCTCCTTCTGCCCTGGCTGCTGTGGTTTGAACATGACGCATTAGGAGATGGGGAGGTCTTTCTCTCTCTCACACACACATGCATACACACATATACACACAGAGAGGAAAGAAGAGAAGGAGAATAATCCCTACCAAGACCTCTGCCCTAATGGGGCCCACTACTGTAATTACAAGGCACAGATTTCAGATCAGGCACTTAAGTAGCCAGCTAAGAGTGCCCAGAAAACAAAAAGCTCTGTAATTATCGTCTGTCTCCTCTCTCCCCAGTGTAACTTCAGTTACCTGTCATGCTGCTGTTTTGTCAGGACTTCGTTGTTTCCTGGATTCTCCCTAATCCATGGCTGGAAGCAGCCCTGGCAGTGCGCCTGTCTGTGCAAGATGCACATTTCAGCTCGCGGGGGCGAGTGACGACATGGCACACAAAGATAGCAGAAACCTGAGTCCTCGCAGCCCCACAAGCACATGAATGCATTTTTTTTTTACAAGAGAAGGGAGGAAAAGAAAGAGGGGGAGTGTTCAGTTTGCTCTAGACAAAAGATCCATTGTGCAGTGAAACTTTATATACATATTAGAAACTTGAAACCCAGAGCCTCAGCAAGCAGGATTCTTGTAACTGTGAACAAGATAACATTACCTACCATTCTTTCCTTCTGTCCACAGAAAAAGAGAAAAGCTTTCAATTCTACTTTTTTTTTTCCAGGATCTTTTTCTTTATCTCGGATTTTTTAGGGTCATCTAATATCAGCGATAAGAGAGCTGCGGTCTCCCGGCTGTTTTGTGGCCCATTAAGTAACACATTCCCCAGTTGGAGCAGAGCAGGGGGCACAACTTGTCGACAGAGATTTGCACTCAATATTCTCTTAGCTTGCAGCAACCATCTGCTTACCCTTTCAGGTGTTTCAGCAGGAATGCTATGCCCATTCCTATACTTACTGCTATACTTCACCTGCTTCAGGCTGGAAGGTATTATACATGCACTTCCTCTGCTTTACAAATACTACTCATCTGTCTTCCTAACAAGATTAACACATACGTTTTTATTATACGCCACAGGAAACACTGTCTTATATTACCTGTACCGTTCAAGGGAATATTTAAAAAAAACAATGCAACTGGAAACTGAGATAACTACATGCCTAGCACTAAGCATTCACTATGAGCCATACATAACACATCATTAGATTGGGGTGGTCTATATGTGCAAGAAGTTTTTTTTTGTTTTTGTTTGTTTGTTTGTTTGTTTGTTTGTTTGTTTGTTTTGAAAAAGGAGAAACTTGCAATTATTAGAAACTAAAGCGAGTTCAGTTCGGTATAAGTAAGTCTGTGTCTAAAAGCCTAGGAAAAGTTCCCAACATAGTGACATCATCAACTTCAGACATGTAATTAACCTATTGCCGCCATGCAGTTAGGGGCAAGACTGGACAACCAGTTTAGTAATAACAACCCTTACAACTTATAATTATTTTTCTCAAAAGGACAAACACTGAGATGCACACCAAAAGGACGACCTGCCAAAGAAAAAAGAAAAAAAACCTTATAAACACACACACACACACACACACACACACACACACACACACACACACACACACACACACCAGCATTAAAGAAAAGGTGAGGAGCAACTAATATGCAACATTGGTCACATACAATTATCACAACAACTAGTTTTAAATATTGTTTATGTTAAAGCAGAGTGAGTGTGGTTTACTGCACAGGAACACTGCTGCGTAATTAAAACAAGCATGCCACTTTTTTGGTGTTTTGAACATGGGTTAATGTTTACTTTTGAAGGTACTACATAGTCATTTTATTATTGACTTACACTTCAAGCTGTGTTTTAAGCAAATTAGAAGTATAAATATGCCTTATGCAACTTTACTGAACTGCCCTTTGATATTCATTTGCTTATTTTTTTTATGCTGTCTCTTCCCCAAGTAAGTAACAAGCTTTACTGGGATTTAGGAAGCATCTATTGAAACCACATTAACCCAGTAAAAGGTTAGTCATCCCCACAGGGTACCTTGGCACTCTGAAGAATGAACTAAATTTAAAAGTTACTTACTGTAGGATATCTTAGGGGATTATGTTAAGGTATGAAAACCATCTGTATAGGTACATTTATACAAATCACAAAACCCTTTACTCTGTAGCAAGAAACAAGAAACATGGGAGATGGGTGACTAATCCTGATGCTTTCCATTTTAGTTCTGGCTCAGTCTTTATTTCATAAAGACATTCTGGGAGTGTTTGGATAAACGACAGCTTCCATTTTTACAAGTTCTATTAATATGAGCCTGAGGTGGATGATTCATTGTGAACCAGACCTGGATTTTGTCAGCCTTACTTGTTCCATGAATACAAACCTTAACTTTTTCCATTAATATTTATCCAATTAACAACTATGACCAGTACATATTTGTCTGTTCACAAACTCTACTGTGGCCCGGTGAACCTCTCTGTTCCCGACTCTTTTTGAGTTTACTAATTATAAGTGCCAGGAAAAAGAAATATAAAAGCACAGTGTTGAACAAAGAGCTAAACACAAGCGTACCATTTGGGGGCCTCAACAGATTTGCATGAGGCCAGATTAGGTGATTTCCAGTCAAATGATGTAACTGGCACCTAAAGCGAGGAAGTGTGGGTGATCCTTTGTTACCACTCTCCAACACGAAAACATCATATCAAAGAATTGATCCCATACAGGTACGGGGGAGTGCAAATAGGCTGGGATAGGGTGGGTTTTGTCTCAGCTGAGCTTAAGTAAGCATCAAGTCTAGTTTGCTGTGGCTAACTTACACACAGGGAGCCGTAAGAATAAAGAGGGCTCTAAGTTAGTTTTAATAGGCACATTATTTCTACCCCTAACACCCGCACAGGCCCCACTTTGAGCCATTGGCTGTTTGAAGTTGGCAACAGCTGTAGTGTTCCAGCCTTTATTTAGAGGTCAGCATGCTGACTTCACTTAAAAGGAGAGTGGGACTAAAGGGGAGTGAGTGAGAGAGAGAGAGAGAGAGAGAGAGAGAGAGAGAGAGAGAGAGGGAGAGAGGGAGAGAAGAAAAGGCAGTGGGAGGAGAAATAAAGAACAGAGAGAGAGTAAGAGGTGAAAGAATGAGTTAAAAAAAGAAAGAGTTACTAGTGTGGCAAGGGATTAGCTGAGGGAGAGGTTAAAAGTTTGTGGAGTTGCATCTGGCCTCCTGCCTGCTCTGTTGTTTATTGCCGCCGGCGTGAAGATCTGGTGCCAACATTAACCACACCTGAACCACTCCACAGCATACACACACACCAGGACAAAACAGGAAGAGGCATGCACACAGCCTGCACTTTACTCCAATACTTTGGCAAGACATTACAGTGTACCAGCTTATTCTCCTCTATATACCAAAGAGTGTGTGTGTGTGGGTCTGTGTGCGTGCATGTGTGTGTGCATGTATGCATGCGTGCATGTGTGTGTGAACTGCACTCACAGATGCCAAGTCATGACTTCTCATTTGTTAATCCCCTGTTGCTTCTATTACCCCTTGTCTATCCCTTTCCATCTTTGTGCTCTGTCACTCTGGATGACTGCCTGGCTGCAAAGCCCTAGCGTGCCTCAGCCAAATCTTTCTAACTTAGTTGTTTCGAAAGTCTGGTGTGACAACAGTTCCAGGTCCGCTCAAACCCCCACAAGATGTTCAGTGAACATAAGACAGATGGATGTTCTCATGCTCGTTGTAAGAGTATTATGTGCCATCAGTGAGTAACACAACACTGAACGGACCAGAGAAATACACAGGGCCACTGTGGGCAGAAATCACACACAAAGAAGAATGCAAGGATGCCACCCACCACAGACCAATAAGACAGACCCTTCTCTGTTCAACTTCTCTCTTTCACTGGAATTCCCCCTTAATATTGCGCCAGCTTATATTGTGTAGCACGTGCATGAATAAGTACGCACACGGAAATATACAAAATTATGGGGACCCATGTGGGCCGGAAAAGGGAACAAGTTTGGGCAAAGATGGTTTGAAAACACTCCGGGGATTAAGGGCAGGGTACTCCTTTTGCCCCAGGCTGTATAGACAAGCACAGCAGCCAATTAGTACAAGATACCAGCCCTACCACCCTTCGTCCCTCAATGCCTCCCCTCTCTGTTCAGCTTTGCCCTGGTCTTCTGAACTTGGTATGGTCAAGGCTGGAATGCTGAAGCAGTCATATTCACATGCACATCAAACGCGATTAAGTACAAGCCCTCTGGATTTACATGAGTCCGTAAACCTTCACATCTCGGGCTAGCTTCTCAAAAGCACTTGGCTTCCTCCTGCCACAAAAGTATCCAAGTTCATTTTGGTCTGACACAGGCCCCTCCTTTGCTTGTGGAAGTAATACCAGATTACAGAGCAACTGTTGTTAAATGATGATATGATGTGTTTTTCTTGTTCTTTTTTTCCCCCTCTCTTTGTTTGTACAGCTGTTCTTCAACAGCGGGTCATCTCACTGGTTTGCTCTTGTATGGCTTACTTTGTGCAAAACTGACATCTCATTTCAGTTTGATATACATGTACAGATTTGGGTGTGACGGGGGACCTTCTGTGATATAAACAAGGGTACTTAATCAGTGTGTATCCCAGTAAAGGCTGACTTCATTCCTTCCTTTTCCTTCGTCTCCCAGCTAAGCCTCAGCTGTGCATGATTTGGCTAACTCTTCCGAAATAGTACTGTGAGGGTTAACTTTTCCGCCTGTGACTCAGGTACATGGGACGTGTCCTAACAGGCGACTCACAAATCGAGCACCTCGTACCACATAGCCCACAAAAAAAGGTTATTTTAACCAGAGCAAGAAGGTCTAAGAAAACAAAATGAGAAGAGGAAAGATGAACACATGTATTTTACAACATTCTTTTCTTTGTCTAATCAAAGAATGCATGAATAAAAGATACACTCATCAAAACACCCATTCATAAAACTTACCACCTTTAGGTGCTTGTGGTGAAGAGACCAGGGAAGACATAATCCCATGGGGAGTTCAATGGGCAGAGCCAATTAGAATATGCAGGGAAAGATAGAGTATATATACATACCCTCTCTACATACCTCTTTCTTTCACCGTCTACACACACACACACACACACACACACACACACACACACACACACACACACACACACACACATACGGCCCGGCAGGCTGGAAGCTCTCCCAGGGCCCAGATGCTCTCTGTCAACACCAAGATTCCAGAGAGGAAGCAGGGCTTTACAGCAGCAAGCTGTACACACAGCCAGGACCTGCAAAGACCAGGAGCCAGGAGAGGACAACCTGCTCCATATAAACACAGACCTCCCTGTCTTCTGTCTGAGCCACTGGTTTTGCTTCCTCGCTCGCAGAGCTCCTCTTGCTGGCTGGACCCCCTCTCTCTGCCTGCCACCATCAAGAGGTAAATAGCTATTGGCTGCTCAATAAGTGGCTTCAGTGCGTTGGAGTGAGGGGCCTTTTTTCCTCCGCACTCTCCCAGCCTTGACAAGCATGTATTGACAGAGTAGTTACACACTAACCCATTGGGGGAAATCCTCCACATTGTGCCCCAGGCAGCTGATAAATGGAACTCATACAGTACCTGTAAGCATGATCTCCTACACATGGGCACACAAAGTGCATCTATGCATACAAACAGCGCACTATTACCACACTTACACTAATTAAGGAGAATAGGGGGCTTTATAGGGGCTTTATGACACACATTACGATGGACGAATAAATGTGTGTAAGGATAAAGAGAAAAAGAAAGGGGGGTTACAAATAATTATATACCGTCTAAATCTTCATAAGCTGTGACACAAGAACTTAAGTTCATGAACCTTTGGTGCCTCAGAAGGTCGCAGACTACCAGATTATCCGAGTTCTACAATTTGGAAACTCTTAAATATAAAATTATTTTAACTGGTAATCAAGGACATCCGAAGTACTTTTATGAACCAAAATACAGAAATAAGACAAAATGTAAGTGAACAACACACCCAAAAGACGCTATGACTTTCTCTCATGTTTCAGCACAGACGACAACTAACTTTTGCCTGAGCTTGTGTTTATCAGACAAACTAATTCTCAGTCTAACTACAACCATACTCACCGTCTCTCTTTGCCCTCCTAACCATTTGGGCTAAATGTCATATGTGCCACGGTGAACCAGGAAAGGATTTAGTGACAGGGTAGAAAAGGAGGAGTCAGCACTTGTCCCCCCCGAACATTGGGGCAGAGCAGTCTCATGTCATCCTCTCTGTCTCCCCTCCACCCCCCTATGTCCGATCCGCCGCAGATAAATAGCTAGGGGTGCAGCAGTTGCTTTCACTTTGTGATATGATGTCAGTAACCTTCATTGATCTGCAGCCAGGCAGGCAGGCCTTATCACTGCTTCTCCCTTGTGATATACTGTGATCCAGGGCCCTGACTGCTTTTTAATACACTGCACTTTAGGTAACAGTGTCCCAGGCTAACCACCCTTGCTGCTAACACCTGAGGCAGTATTTTACAGCAGTGCTGTGATGGCCAGTGAGATTACTGAGAAACTAACTCTGGGAAAGTCTGCCAGCAAAATGATAATGCTGAAAAAAGTGAGCCGCTGGAATGACACGTTAGGAATTCTGTACGCTGATCAAATGTTGTGGCACGACTTCACCTCCGAGCAAGCGGCACGGAGACGAGAGGCAGTCTCGAAGAAGAAAATTCCAGGAACTGTGCATCATAAGAACTCTTGCCACTTTTCAGAACCCTTTCAATCCTGTGGCTTTGTTTGATGCTCTACCTGCGCTGTATTTTTAAGTCTAATCAAGCACCTGTGACAGAACATAGAGCCTCTGTTGACAGAGCACAATGCTCTTCTCAGGGGTGAATTTAGTGCTGACAGCCACTTCCTCACTCCAGATTTATACAAGCACTCAAGCTTAGACAACACCTGAGGTGATTGCTGAAAGTTGTACCCTTATCATGAGAAGCCTTACACAAATAAAATTAAGAAATAAGGTACCCAATGCTCCAGTGTCATGCCTTGAAAACTGTAGTTAATTGCTAAAAGCATTTAACTAAAAGCATTTAGCATGAGTGGGCAAAGACTTTGGAGTACTACTTCCATTACTACTCCTGAATGTGGCAGTTAAGAGACTTTTTAAAAACATATATATTCACAAAGCAAAGTCATATTTAAGTATAACTACATAACCTATTATATACACAGAGGTTTACTCCAGCTAACCACCACCCCCATGTACATGGGTTGAAGAAGGCTGCAGATAAAGGAGACTGGACGACTAGGAGGAGAATTATCCCAACATTGATTTTAGCTGTTGGGTATTACAGAAGGAAACAGTGGGTTTATCAGGCCAGGATCCCTCTGCACTTTCACTAACTAAACGAGTATTTTCCGGGCTTATCAGGCAAAAAGCCTATTACTGATGGTCTCAGCCTCCCCCACAACTAGACAAAGAGGAAGGGTGACCACCATTATGCACCTACTGGATGGGTTTAGTTACATGGCACTTTTGGAGACCTCTAACACTTATCCAGCACTTTGCAAACCCAAAATGATGTCCATATTACCACTGCATAATACTCCTTAGGGGTATTGCACATTTTATTATATTTATGTATATTTACGGTTATCTACTAATGGACTTATGACCTCCTCAACTATCTACTCTCCATCTTTCTCTTCCACTGTCTGCCTCTCTCTGGGTCAATGTCATTTCTGTGGGTTCTATATATGAAGACTATAACCAGAGATAATGGGAAGTGCTATAATCCCTGAGAGGAGGCTAATACCTGCCTTAATCACAAGGGGAAAAAAGTATATGTTTTAATTACGGACCAAAAGATCTAGAAAGATACCTGTGAGGTACCAATCCCAGGATCCTCAGTGAGCAGGTCTTATCTGTGAAACCTGAGGAAAACCTTGCATGTATGCACTTTGCTCTGTATTAGCCAGCATGAATTAGAAGTACTCGCTATTTTAAGATGAAATTATACTCAGAGACATTTTGACTGTATACCCATTTCCCATTGTTAATAATGAACAAGAGTAGAGACTGAGAAAATTTCCCTCAGCAATTATCGCAGAAATCCATAGACTGATCAATGTGCAATCCCAAGGATTGTCTTAATACATATAAAATATAGACAACACCACGTGTGCGTATGAATGTGCATGAATTTATTGTAGCGTAAAATGACCTCAACAAGATGAGAATATTATTGAAGAAATAAAAGCTGGGTGTAATGATTTACATATTTCATCACAGGCAGCAATGAAAGTGAGTGATTAAACACAGAGCATGAGAGGAAGGGAGGCGGTATTGAGAAGAGCGAACAAGATAAACTGCTAAACAGAACAAAATGATAAAGAAATAAAACTACTTCCCAAGTGCATAATGGCACAGTAGGACATGCTGGATAAATATGTCCACCGTACGCTTTAGAGTCTGTTAGCCCAAGCCAGTCTTAGTTCTAATTAAAGACTTCAAGAATAGCACTTATCCATTATGTCAACATAAAAGTGCACATGTTCTATTCTACAAGACAAGAGCGAGCCTAGAAGTGGAGGTGGGTGGCACGAGCAGTGAAAGACGACAGAGAATTGTGGCCAGACGTGGCACCCATGAAGGGGCAATGCTCATCTGCCCACCGGCCTGCCTTTATGTCTCCAAGTCAGCCCTGTAATTTGCTTGGAGCGGAGATAAATCTTATCTCGGAGACCTGATTAAGTTTTTAATTTACACTCCAATCAATAGCCCAGGTCTATTGGCAATGTGTCTAAAACTCTATTTACCAAAGGATTCCCTGCTATCAATTGATCAAGGACCCGGCAGCCATAAATTATGGGAACATGTGTGCGTGACAGAGGGGGAGACAGAGAGTAAGGGTGCCAAAATAGCCTGTGAGTGAGAAATTTAAAGAGCTAGGTCATATTTGACCAATTGTAGGACAGGATAACGATAGGAGCTATAACCTCACCTGAGAACCAATCAAACTCACTTAGAACTCAGCTTAATATGCTTTGACAACATTGGGCTTAATGTGCTGAGGAGTGGATTGTAAATGAGTAGCAAAGCTAAAGCGAAATGCCCAGTTCACCTACTCTCACACGACCTTCCAAAAAGCGGCACCCAGAGTGATCATATCAAAGGCCTGAAAAAGTAAGACCTCCCACTTCCGACCCTTTCTGCATGAGTGCCGTTATCTGTTTACAGTGCCTCTTTTCCCAAAGGAACTTTAAAAAGGAATCTGCTGGAGACTGGGTTCCCCACACAGAATTCCTACATGCTTTTTCTATGCTAAGCATCCTGTCTGGGAAAACTGAGGGAAGAATTTTACAGGCACCCATTTACACTCCTAAGACATCCGGAAACAACTATTTTCTGTTCTTTATTTTTGGGTACTGGGATATTTGCTGAGGACTTTAAGGATGGGAAGATTTGTCATGCTGAAGCGATGAATAATCAGAAGTGTAAACATCCAGTTAATCATAACTCTCCTCACTTGATTTTTGATGCATGTTTAGTAAGAAGGCAATGGTAGTACCATTCTGGCTCAGAGCTAAAGGGCACAGATACAGTTCAGACTCCTCTCTGCTGTTCCCATGCAGAGGAAGTGAAGGGGAGGGAAAGGAGGGCAGCGTTATCACCGTGGAGAAAGTGTCGTCATGGCGGTTCTGCTCTGACCCTGCTGACTTGCCGATTCCTTAACATGAGATCATTTTGGACAGCTGACCTCAATATTACTGTGCTCTGATGAAACAGATCCAGTGGAGCGCCTTATTCTGCTCACCCTGCCTACAAAACATAAGTGGGACACAGTTCATTTTCAGTTTTATTGCTGCGCCACAATTAACTGGAATTACCGGAATTAACGTAAACAGAGCGAACGGGCCATTTTCCTCCCTCCTTATCATTTTCAGTGAGACATAAAATAAACACAAGTAGGCAAACTGGGCTTCCCACAATAAGACTTTCTTAAAAACTCTCTGGCTTCATTTTCTATCTGGCTCAAGTTTCACACTCTCACACTCCTGATATTTGACAAAGCAGAGTTATTGTTAAAAATAAAAATAAAAAATGAGCGCGAAACCATTCTCCAGGTTTGTCAACAGGTTGGCCAATGGGGCGCCACATGTTTTTCGTGTTTTTAAAATGACAACATACAATAATAATAAGGCAGAAAAATATTGTTGTAACAAATGTTTGGGCGGATGTTCTGTACTACTTTGTCATTAGCGGAGAAGCTGTCTGGTAAAATCAGGCATAAACATGTGTCAGAATTACTTGTAATTATAGTTGAAAAACTTCCGCATGGGAGCATGAATCACCTCTGCAGCTGGCTTTCATGGAAGAAAAGAACACAGTACCCTGCTATCCTCACCTTCACAACTGCAGCGGGGGGAGGGGAGCAGAACATGGGAGACATGCAGACTAAAGAAGACAGACGGGCTCATACCAAGTCAGAGAGCCCAGTTTGCTGGTCCTCTGCTGGATTATCTAAAGAGCCACCGACGGATATGTGTAATCAGCCCCATCCCCATGTTTTTCTCTCTCACTCTCTGCCTCTCTGGCTAATGTCTCCGCCTGATTCGATTGAGGCAATTAGGCAGTAATCTATAGAGCTAGGGAGTGATGGAAACATTTCCCACTGTCCTCCTCATGTTTCTCCGAGCTGCTATAATTAGCTAACTTTGTTTCTCATTAAACATCAGAGCAGTATTTACATACCCAGATCCAATTTGGCTCTGTGGAGCCCATTCCTTTTAAACCGTCTTGAAATCCTGAAACATGCCCGTAAACAAAGGAATAAGGGAGCTGCAATCCTACAATTAGTTCAGTCAAACATTTATATATTCGATGGGTAGAATGCAATATAGATATAAATGAACAGGTTACAAAAACAATTAAAAATAAAACATGTACGTACAAAACAAAGTGGATGATCATTCAAAAGAAGGGTGTTGGTTCTGATAAAGGAGGGAAGGAAGGCCCAGTTGATCTGAAGTTCTGATATTATAAATGGATGACACACTTCCATCTTTGGTTTCAGTGAGCCATCACAACTGGAATAGCGGGCTCACATGTGTTTCCTTGAGGCTTATAATCATTTTAAATATTTTTGCAGGAACTGAAACAGTGAAGAGCAAGACTGCAAACTTAATTTGAACCAAAGTTTAACATTCTGGAGCTCTGATTTGATCATCATAATTATGTCAGGTATTTGATAGAAAACAAAAAGTGAGTCCTCTCATTTGCACTTCGGTTGGTTTACACACTCATGTGGATACATTTCCCCCCCTATTTATGAAAGTGTTGGCTGAAAATCTGCACTGACATTCAATGCCAAAGGAAATGCAGGAAAACATCAAAACCTCCATTCCTGCTGAATTGCTCAATAATGTGTTTAAGTGCACTACAAGCACCACATTGAGCTAAAGTACAGAGCTCACAGGAGGCGTGAAAGAATGCCAAAAGAGTGGACTCTCTTTTAAAACTATGCAGGCCTTCAGCAGCTTTAGACGCCACCCAGAGTTGTACAACAATCGCAAACTTTTCAGTTGATATGCAAAGCAGCATGGACAATTTCATGTCCCCATGGTAACAGTACCCCTGTTTTGCAAAAATGTAATGATTAATCATGCTTTTGATAACAAAGGACAAAAACATTGATGCAGCATGAACATGTGTCAACGTATGTGTGTTTTCAAGTGTTTTTTCGGTCTCTTCTGGATCAGCTCAGTACAAAGCTTACACTATTTCTGTACTTCTTTTACTTGTTAAGTTGATTTTCTCTATTCAATTGGAAAAAATTTGTAGCTGCTTTTCAGTTTCAGACAACAATCACACTGAACCCACTGACAGACAATTAAAACCTCTCATTTGGTATAGACTTCTGCAAATGCAATATTTATTTACTACTACTGCTGCGGCTTTTTTTTTTTAACCCAAAATAAAAACAGCCACAACTAAAAGTCCACTGTAGTCATACTCATCAATAAACTGACACTGAGAAACTTGAGCAGCACCTAAAATCAGTAAGTGTGCACTAAAGCTAACAAGCAGCTTAATGGCTAAAGTTTAATTCAAGTATAAAATATTTCTTTTGGCTTTTTTTTAGCATTACGGCCTTAACACTACAGTGTGTGTGATGTACACATGCATTTTTTGACTAGAATCTAGCACAAACAAGTCACATCGACCGAATTCTGACAGGTCTGACGATCTGAAAGCTTTAACAGGTAAATGTTTGAATGTGAATGAAGCACACAGAAATCCAATCTACTGCTCTGCCTGTCTATTGTACGGTGTAGCTTGAATACATATGCAGGAGTACAGCCGGGGCTGAAGAAAAGGGTAATTCAATCAGCAACATTCCTGCATGACACAGATTCACTTTGTCAGTTGAGCTTTACCAGTAATTCATCTTTCTGAAAACAGACACTATCTCAACAATAATTTCTTTCAACTCTGATACCTGGCAAAGAGGTGCCTGAAAATTTAATAACAGGTTTTTATTGGCTAACACCACAATCCTTTCAGATCTCACCCTATCAAGAGTAAGTTTCCATTTCCTGATGTCTCCGAGAGAGCAAAATCGACCCGTGGAGAATGTGTAGTGAGACGCAAATGGTAATTCCTGCCATTGTGGCTCAACTCACAAGTGACCATACTTTTAAACAAACCATATGAACACACAAATGTGCACTGACTAGTAGTGGAATGCGTAAGTAAACAGTGCGAGGGGTAGGGCTGTATGTAGAAGACCAGATGGGCTGACAGGGGGACTTGTCCTGGGAAAGGGCTTTCCCAAACCCATACACCCCCCACAGTTCCCCTCTGGCCCTGTGTGAGGACTGCATGTAGCCTGGTCTGAACAGCAGAGGGTTAACCGCACTGCCCAGTCACAGGCGTGAAGTGAAACAATGAAATAATGGCAGTGAGTGAACGCTCAAAGGCAGGGGGCACAGTGGGTGTGGGAGGGCAGGGGCTCGCCATTGGCTCCTGCAGATGTTGCCGGGCTTCAGCGGGTCACACAATCACACGTATTAGCATTCCTGATAGAGGGAGCCCGGATTAGGGAGCTGAATGCCTTTCTCAACTCAGTCAGAGTTTGAACACAGCAGAAAAGCAGCGCGGAGAGAGAGAAATCCCAGAAATGCGGTGATGAAAGGTGGAGACAAGAGCATAGGGGAAGAAAAGCACTCTCAGACAGTGTCGAGGAAGGCCCGGCTCACAGAAAGAGCAGGCACAATGTTGCTGGCAGGAGAGAATTGCAAAGAAAGGCAGTTGCAGGAAGAGGAAGATTGACAGACAAATTGTGCCAAATTGACTAAAACAGCTAATGAAACAGTTTAACAAACAGACAATAAAGAGAAATCAAGCATGTGATAATTTAATGGTTTTGTGAGGGTGGAAGAGGGAGTGTATATATGAAACGAAGATTTCTATTTGTGGCTGAATGAGTGAATGAGCATAGACAAACGGCTTTCTTTCTTCTTTGTATGTCTGAGAGAGCGAGTGAGAGTGAGAGAGAGCAGAAACAAAAGCTTTTCAGAGTGTATGTGTGCTGTCCTGTCCCTCTTTCCCAGGACAGAGGTCTGGAGAGGCCTCATATTTCTGGCTGCTGTCAGGTCAGGGTGAGAGGCAGAGACAGCAAGGGGCAGCTGTTTTCTATGAGGTAGTCCGGCTTCCTCACACATGGCCTTTGATCCATTTTGACTTCCTTCGCCAACCAAGCTGCC